CCAGACAAGAATGGAGAAGAAAGTGAAGGCGATGGCTGCCTTTGCGCTGCTGCTCCCCAGGAGGAACTGTTTGGGTGGAGAATGCTGCCACTGGTTGGCCAGGAAGCAGAAACCAACGAACCAGATGACTGCCCAGAGGACTGTGGTGTGGTAAGGAGAGAAGAGGGGTTAGGAGAAAGCTTGTTCAAGGCTGCTGAGGTATGGAAAGGATGAGGCTGGGAGTCTTGCTGTGTGACCTCCTAGGACTTATTCCCTAGCTCCTCCGAGCCCTCCCTAAAGTCAACCACTACAGTAGAGCTGTGCTATCTGCAAGGGAGCCTGTGGCCACATGTAGCTGTTGAAATTTCAATTTATTAAAATATAATTTTAAAACATTCAGTTCCCTGGTCACACTGGCCACATTTCAAATGCCCAGTAGCCAAAGGTGGCTGGTGGCTCCTGTAGTAGAGAGCTCATGACAGAACGTTTCTACCCTCACAGAAAGTTCTCAACAGTGCTGGACTCAATGACTTGCCTTGGTCCTGAGAGGCTGGGACTACTCTGGTGGGGAAGAAGAGGAGAGGAAGATTGAGATCAACCAGACTGAGAGGAAGGAGGCCAGGGCCTGAGGAAAAGGAATGTGCACTTATTTAGCACTTACTGTGTGCCAGGCTCTATCAAGAGTGTTCAGCAGTAGTTAGGAGGCGAGACTTTGCTTTGAAGGGCTTGACCTGATATTCAGCAGCTGTATGCCCAACTATAGCACCTCCTCAAGCCTCAGTTTCCTCCTCTGTAAAATGGGAATACAAACAGGACTTACCTCGTAGGATGGTTCTGAGGACTATTATGAGAAGAGGCATATGGAAGCCAGACTCTGTGCCTGGCATGTGGGTAGTATGCATGTCAACATTACAGGCCTCCTTTATCTCATTTCATCTTTCAGAAAACACCTGCGAGGTAAAGGTTTTCATCTAGCTTTTACCAAAGCTCAAAGAAAGGAAGAGCCTTGTGCAAGCCCACAGAGTGGGGAGGTGCTGAGGTTGAGATTTCCAACCTGGGTCTGTCTGGTTCCATCCTCTGAAACCCACTTTCTGCTGCTGGGTGGCTTTTTAAGAAATGTTCTGTGAACAAGGGAGGTGAATCCAAGGAAAGAGCCATGCAGAAGGGAGGCTTCTAGAATTAGCCTGGAGGTCAAAAGAGGTGACCCTTATGTTGGGTCTAAAGGATGACTGATAATTCCCCAGGAAGAAACGCAGGTACAGACAAGCAGTGAGAAGCTGTGAGCCATGTGTGGTCAGATGCCTCCTCTTGGAAGGGTGGTCAGAGACAAGGCCAGCTGGGTGGTGAAGGGAGGAGGCCCTAAGAAGCTGGGAGGGCTGTGAGCAAGTGAAGGGGCAGCTCTGGACAGGAGGTTGTGGGGGCTCACCCGCCAGGATGAAGTCCAAGAGCTGGAAGGCCGTCTTGAAGCGGGAACTGGCTATGCGGCTCTCATGGGCATCCAGGACCAGGAAGACGAGGCAGCTGAGGAAGGCCAGGAAGCCGGCTCCCACTGCAAAGCTGCAGGCCACGTTGTTGCTGTTGAGGACGCAGTGGAGCTGTGGAGACTCTGTCTTGTTCTGGTAGCCATCAGTCAGCAGGGAGGAGAAGATGATGAGGGAAAAGACCTGTGGGTCCAGGGCCAGAGTGAAGGTCAGTGTGTCCCCAGGGCCATTCCTCCTCCCTGATGCTGACGGTCCAGCTGCACACTTGGTCGCTGGGCTATCCTGGTCCACTTCCTTCCTGTCTCATCCTCAGAGCCTTCAGCGTCCTACCTCTCATCCCCTCTGCTCTATCCTGGCTCACGCCTCATCCTCTCCCACCTGAACCCTACTCCTGCCTCCTACCAGCCTCCTGTCTATCCCCTACATGGCCCAGGAGATTCTTTCAAAACCCTGTCCCCTTGCCTATAGCCCCCAGGGCTCCCCAGTGCTCAGGACTGAGTCCCGTTCCTATAGTGTGGCCTTGGAGGCCCTGAATAGTTTCCGTTCTCCTTGCTCTATACTCCCCTTCTGCCATTGAATCTGTACTGATGAAAAATGTCCTGGCCATGGTGTCCAGGACAGAGGAAGACTGAATAAATGTTTGTTGTCATGAGCATTTCCTCTGCCTCCTATCCTTTCCCTCTCCCTGTGACATCTTTCTCCTCCCCCTTTGCCAATTTTTAAGATAAATTCATTTTAAGATAAATTTGTGAAATAGTCCAAATATATAGAAAAGAATGGAGAGAAATATAACAAACACCAATGCAACTACCCAGAACTAACATTAACATTTTGCCTTTTTGGTGGGGGGGGGCACTTCAGAACTTTTTTTTTTTTGAGACAGAGCCTCACTTTGTCTCCTTCAGCAGAGTGCCATGATGTCACAGCTTATAGCAACCTTAAACTCTTGTGCTTAAGCGATTCTCTTGCCTCAGCCTCCCAAGTATCTGAGACTACAGGTGCCTGCCACAATACCCGGCTTGGGTATTTTTAGTGATGGGGTCTTGCTCTGGCTCAGGCTGGTCTCAAGCCTGTGAGCTCAGGGCAATCCACCTGCCTCAGTCTCCCAGAGTGCTAGGATTACAGGTGTGAGCCACTGCGCCCAGCTGAGAACGTTTTAAAAAAAAACAAATACAACACCAATATAGTAACCCTCTCATCTGTGCATAGTGCACACAGTCTGTGTCTATGCTTGTCTTATACAATTATTTATTAAACACCACTGAAGTACTCTACAAATACCAGCCTAGATCATCCTTATGACCACACGGGTACTACTAACAGCCCCAAATTTTATTTTATTTTTTTGCAGTTTTTGGCCGGGGCTGGGTTTGAACTTGCCAGCACATGGGGATGGTGCCCTACTCCTTTGAGCCACAGGCACTACCCGTATTTTATTTTTTTCGATATAGAGTCTCACTCTGTTACCCTAGGCTAGAGTATGGAATCAGCCTACCTCATAGCACTCTCTGACTGCTGGGTCCAAGTGATCCTCCTGCCTCAGCCTCCCCAGTACCTAGGACTACAGGTGCCTGCCACAACACCAGGCTAGTGTTTTCTTTTCTTTTCTTTTTTTTGAGACAGAGTCTCACTATGTCATCCTTGGTAGAGTGCTATGGTGTCACAGCTCACAGCAACCTTGAACTCTTGGGTTTAAACGATTCTCTTGCCTCCGACTCCAAAGTAGCTGGGACTACAGGCACCTGTTTCAATGCCCGACTATTTTTTTGTTGCAGTTGTCATTGTTGTTTAGCTGGCCCGGGCTGGGTTTGAACCTGCCAGCCTTGGTGTATGTAACCATTGTGCTACGGGTACTGAACATTTTTTTTTTTTTTTTTTGAAGACAGAGTCTCACTTTGTCACTCTTGGTAGAGTGCTGTGGCTTCATAGCTCACAGCAACCTCCAACTCTTGGATACAAGCGATTCTCTTGCCTCAGCCTCCCGATTAACTAGAACTACAGGAGCCTACCACAATGCCTGGCTATTTTTATAGACTGAGTCTCGCTGTTGCTCAGGCTGGTCTCAAACCTGTGAGCTCAGGGCAATCCACCTGCCTCAGCCTCCCAGAGTGCTAGGATTACAGCAGTGAGCCACCGTGCCAAGTCTGTGTTTTCTGTTTTTAGTAGAGACAGGGTCTTGCTTTTGCTCAGGCTGGTCTGGCTCCTGAGTTCAAATAATCCATCTGCCTCTGCCTCAGCCACAGACCTGAATTTTAGAGAATGAAAGTGAGGCACAGTGAGGACTGTGAATTGGCTGAAAAATGGCTTATCAGTGGTAGAGCTTGGATTTGAACCAAAGCAGCCTAGCCCCTGGGTCTGCTCTTGATCTCTTGCCACCTTATGCTGGACCAAATACCTGGAAGGCAGATGTTCCTATCAATGCAGTTTGGTGAAACATTTGAGCCCCAATTACTTGTCCCAGACAGTCCAAATGCAGCCTGGCAAGGTCTATGCCAGACACAGGAGCTGGTACATATGTGGGGCAAAGAGTGAGAGTTGGCCCAGGAAGTTTTCTGGAGGAGGCAATGCTTGTAAGAAATGTTGACAGGTGAGAAAGGCTAAGGAATAGGAATGTTGTCTGGAGGGCAATAGGGAGCCATGGAGGGCTGTGAGCAGGGGGGTGAGAAGGGTCAACTCTAGGTGAAGGTGTAGGAAGATCCTCTGTGTTGATATGGGTTGAAGAGGGTGAGTCTAGAGGCTGGGGGGCCAGAGAGGAGGTAGGGGTTTGGGGTGAGGGAGAGAGTGAAGGTTTGAGTAGCATCTGAAGTTATAGAGCTGGTTTTAGGAGGCAATGATAAGGTGGGTTCTGAGCTGGCTGAACCTTGAAGAACGAGGAGCTTTTAGGCAGACAAGAGGGGAAAGAGCACTCCAGGCAGGGCAGAGTATGTGCAAAGAACAGATACTGCAGAGCAGGGCTTCTTCAAATAAATCTCATTTGAGGGATCAGGGTGAGATGAGGCTGGAAAAATGAGTGGAAGCCAGAAGCTGAGAGGCCTTGAACACCAAGCCCAGGGGCCTGGAATAGGAATTAACCCCATGGAAAGCGATTAATTTTATGTATGGAAGAATTCTGGGAAGCAGATGGTCAATGTCAGATCTAGGGGTGAGAGAAGTCCTCGGGGGGTCATGTGGCTGACATACTGGAGGTGGGCAAGAGAAGAGGTCAACAGACTTGAGAGGAGGCTGACAGGGAGGCCCAGGTGAGAAATGCTTTGGCCAGAGCCCTGTGGAATACAGTAACATTCAGGATGTAAAATAGGATTTGGTGATTGATTGGATATGGTAGTGTTGGTGATGGGAGCTGGTGGAGGGATAGGCTGAGGGAAAGGGAATGTTGAAAATTTCACCTTCAATAGAATTGGATCTCCTCCTGAATAGGCTCCACATAGAACTCATCTCTCTATCCACAGGACCTGGGCAAATGTGTGATGACAGAACCAATGACTTTGGCTTCTTCTTCTTTGCTCTTGCCCTGCCCTTTGGAGTGAGGATGGAGGAGGCAAAGGACTACCCCTAAACTCTGCTTCCTTCCTTCTCCCCTCTCTTAATTGCCTTCTCTAAACAATAGCTGCAGCAATAACCTGAGTCCCTCTGTTTGCCTAGCACTTTAGCATTAACCAAGGGTATTCACATATATCCTCTTATTTGATTCTCACAGCAACACTGGGAAGGAGGCTATAAGATGATCCCCTTGTTTAGGAGTTGAAGAACTGAGTCTGTAGAGGAGCACATTGCCCTGCTGGTTTAAGGCAGGACCAGGTGTTGGGTGGGAAAACACATTGATCATTTTTGAACTCATATTAATTTTACCTGCCCTGCCTCCCTGGAAGCTCACATCAGCCCTATGCAGTAGAGGTTATTAATTCATTTCTGTTTTACAGGTGATAAATGGAAGCCATTATGGTGGAGTGGAAAAAGCCAGACACGTCTGACTCTGCCAGCTGTGTAGCCTTGGGCAAATCACTTGCCTCTTGGAGCCTCAGTTTCCCAGTCTGTCTCTATGCTACAAGGAAGGGAATATGGGGATGGGTCCTGGGCACAGGTCCTGCTCAGAAAAACAGTAGTTTTTGTGATTCACCCAGAGAGTGGAAGCATTCTCTCAAGGTCAGCAGTGGAGAGGGGATTGAAATCCAGTCCTTCTGACTTCCAGGTAGGAGTGCTGTCTATTCACTGACCCCTAAAATCTTGGGCTGTGAGATGAGCCCAGGACACTGAAGACTCAAGGAGGGGGACTCAGCTGGGCCAGAGGGACCCAATCCCTCTGAAGCCTGAGCCCAATCTCCTTCCTTGCCCTCTCTGGCCTGTCCCCAGCGAGGGAGCAAAGATTCATCAGTTAAGGCACCAGCTGGCAGGCGGCAGTAAGGACAAGAGCACCAGCTGCCTGGAGACTCCCTCCTGAGGAGCCAGGCCAGGGGGGAAGGAGGAGAGGGCAGGCGGGAGAGAGGATGGAGACGCGGGCAAAGTCCGTGACCAGAACGTCTGGCACAGTAGGCGGTTGGCAGCCCTTCCTCCCCCTTCCCTGCCCAGTCCATACCAGCTGGGCCTCCTTCTCCTCTGACATCCACCCTAACTTCCGAAGCTTTGGACATGAGTGGGTGGATCTGAGTTTGACTTGCTCACCAGCTGGGTGATGTCCTTGAGCAAATCACTCAACCTCTGTGAGCCTCAGTTTTCTCCTGGGTTAAATGGGGAAAATAACACCCATGTCATAGATTGGTGGTGAGGAGTAGATTAGCTAACACCAGCAAGGGACCTAGTGCTGGGATGTGGTATTCAAAATTCCCTTCTTTCCCTGGGGGAGGACAATTTACACTAGTTCCAGTCACCCTAGGTCCCCGAAAACCATCTTTCTTCTTGCTCACAAGTAGTGATTTGTTCTAATAATAATCACTGTTTAAGGAAAGATCACTACTTTCCAGGCCCATGCTAATCAGTTTATAAGCATTAACTTATTTAAGTTTCACAAGTACCCTTCCTATGACGAGTAGGATATTAGGATCCTTGTTTTACAGAAGAGATCATAGAGCAGTGTTTTTCAGCCTTTTTAATCTCATGGCACACTTGAACCTATAGTTACACTTCTGTGGCACACTTAAATTATGTTGATCAAAACAAAGTAAAAAAAGAATATACTTACACTGCTTTGAACTTCTTCTTCTTGTTTTTTTCCTTGGGACACAGAGTCTTATTTTGTCACCCTTGGTAGAGTGCTGTGGTACCGTGGTGTCACAGCTCACAGCAACTGCAAACTCTTGGGCTCAAGTGATTCTCTTGCTTCAGTCTCCCAAGTAGCTGGGATTATAGGTGCCCACCACAACATGTGCTGTTTTAAGAGTTGGGGTCTTGCTCTTGCTCAGGTGATCCACCTGCCTCAGCATCCCAGAGTGCTAGGGTTACAGGCATGAGCTACTGAGCCTGGACCCTGAACTCTTGAAATAATTTAATTAGCTGGGCGTGGTGGCTTGTGCCTGTAACCCTAGCACTCTGGGATGCCGAGGCAGGTGGATCACCTGAGCTCAGGAGTTGGAGACCAGCCTGAGCAAAGTGAGACCCCATTTGTACTAAAAATAGAAAAACCAACTGGGTATAGTGACAGGCACCTGTAGTCCTATCCACTCAGGAGGCTGAGGTTGGAGGATTGTCTGAGCCCAAGAATTTGAGGTTGATGTATGATGCCAGGGCACTCTACCTAGGGTGACAGAGTGAGATTCTGTCTCAAAAAAAAAAAAAGAAAAAGAAAGAAAGAAAAAAGAAAATAATTTAATGATCTCTAAAAATTTTCAAGGCGCATCTAAGGTCCTCTTAAGACATAC